ACGAAAAGAAACCGGACTACGTATTATACATTTCCTAACACTAAACAACTTAATCAGCATGCACGTAACAAACCACACGATTACCACATTTATCGTTCGGCGAACTTTCCTGCCTCCCATAAAACACACACCGGTATCATCTCTATCGTAACAGTCTCACCAGTAGAATCACTATTAAATCGAAACGATCCGTGTAGGAACAAGAGTGGAGGATCTATGGCCGGCGCTCGAGGAACAACTCGATGGCGTTCGAGCCTGACGACCTCGAAACCGCAGCTTCAGCAAATGTTTTGACGGATGAAAGTTTAGTCATGAATCCCTTAACGTTGATTAATGGCAGAGGATCGCGACGCGTAAGAGTACAGACAAATCATTGCATTACGCGATCGCTTGTTCTCTGTGTATCTGAATACTATCCTCTCGATTGTGCGTTCGCGGAGCTTCTCTCGCGCTTCTGGGAGATCGAGTGCAAGCCCGTCAATCATCGTTTTCGTCAATCATCTTTCGACGGAAGTGCTTGGCCGTAATGTTTATGTCGATGTCACCAACATTTCAGAATCTTTCTTATTTTCGTGTCAATGTGAATACGCATCCATTTCGATGTACGTGTATGTACGTTGTTTTGCATTGTTTTTTTTTTTGTGTGAATTGCTGCAGTTTAGAAGAATGTTGTATGTATGTAAATATCGGTGCGGTTGGTTTGTGTAATTATTTCTTAAACTATTGGAGAAACATATACAATGTCGGACGTATACTATGGTTAACGTTGATTTAGCATGGATTATTTTTTAGCAAAATCTTAAATTTTAATAATTTAAAAGCAAATTCTTTCTACAATTATAATAAATATACACAATATATGTTTGAAATAGTTTAATACAAAAAGAGATATCTATTGCTAGTATTTGGATAATATTCGTATATTAGAATATTCAGATAATACAGGAGACTCTATTATATCTGGTTACATTTTTGTCAATATTCATCTTATTTTAGCTTACTTTAATTATTCTAAATTATATAACGTATTAAAAGTAAAGGAAATAAATATCGTTATGTCGATTGTATCTTCAATAGTTTAAGAAATAATTCTTCTCTTGTATACTATGCCATATGATCATCTGACAGACTTCTTCTTCCGCTATCTTCGCAACGTTCGTGCTGAGTTCTCGCTTCGGAAATATCATCAACAGAAACCCGCGAAATATCAAGAATGAGTGTGTTTGGTAGCAAGGCTAAAAGGTTACGAAACTGTGTAATCTGTTTGCTTTTAACATCATTGACGACCAATCAAGACTGGACAATGATGTGCGATTAACAAGAGAAAGGAACGTTGACTGAAAGACAAGCTTCCCTCTGGTGGTTGGTGAAAAATCGACGTCTCTCTTTCACGATTTCGGAGGAAATCGGATGCTTTTGAAAGTTCTCTCGGTTGCATCGTGATCGATTTGCTTCGATGATAAATCGTCCACCTCCAAACACGACTGGATCGAACGATATCCCTCTAACACGAGGAACGACGAATCCTCGACGTGGAGTTCTCTCAAGGTCCAAACGAACACGTAGCTTTTCGTTCGATCGAACGTTCTTCAGAAATAGATTTTTTTTTTTTTTTACTTCTGCTCCCCCCGTTCACCGTGAAAAATGTGTCTCACTCGACGAACTTGGGCTATCCAAAGCATGGCGTGCATTACGCAGTCTGTAAACTGGTTTTCGATTTTCGTTCAGCTTCTTTTGTTTTGGAATCCCGGTGGTGAAAGTGAAGGTTTATTTAACCTACTTAAACGTGACGCGTACCGATTTATTTTTAGTAAGGTAACGTATCAATGTGTCCTGAAATTGGGATTCCTTTTATTGAAAGAGGTCATCCGAATGAAATAATACATTTATCTTATTTATCATAGGCTGGAATGATTGTAAAACTCCGTTCAGATTAAATTCATTTATTTAAACTCTTATTATGTGGACGAAAAATTACTCGTAAAGGGGAGAGTCAATGGACTCTTTATCATATGAATCCCAATCGTATAAACAATGAAGTTTGATTGTACCTTATTACTCATTAGTCAGCTCATTAGTCATAATAATTATGTGCAAAAAATTTCGTGGTTGAAGATTGGAAGAAGATTTTGAATTTTTTTACCTTTAATTTTAATAAATATAGAAACAATTTAACGGATACTGCAGTCGATTACAATGGAATAAAATTTATTCGAGTGGAAATGATTTGAAATATTTGTCGGTTGTGCGATATGTGGTCCACGATGTCTCAACTTCGTGACTTTCACTTTAAACCATTGCTGCAGTTATCGCTTGTATTTATTCTTGTACTTGTCGCGTATGATTATTAAGATCGTGTTGAAAGTTTTTCAAAAATTTCATAGACAAAACGATAGAAAAAAAAATTTACACGGAGTTCGTTTTGCAATTTAATCATTATATAATCGATTATACAACGGGTTGTCCGATCTTTATTACCGAGAAATTTCTTTTCCGTATTTTTTTTATTATTTTTAATTGCAATTGTGTCTGAGATCCAGGAGTAAATTTTTCACGGCGATAGATGGAGGCAGAATTAAACGCGAAAGAAAGAAAACAAAAAGAGAAGAGAGAAGGAAAAAGTAATTTGTCACAAAGAAATCATTCAGTTCTACTCTGTGGCTTCTATACATTCTCTGTTTGAAATCATGGACAAATACTCTCCACTCTGTAATTACGTCGAGATTGAATCTGCGAAGTAAATCCTTTGTGTAAAAGACACCAAACAGAATTAACGGTAATAGGTTTGTTAGAACGTAGAGCACTATGTCCAACAATTTTCGTTTCGTTTAATTAAATCGACCAATCTAATTGAATTTTTTTCAAATGTTCTCAACTTCATTTTTTTCGTCATCGGTGAAGAAATCCACGTTTCATAGGAAAGATGTTAGAAATTGTTTTCACGATCGTTACCCACTAGATCGACTAGTTTCTTTTCGTTCTGAAATCAATTCGATATATACATACTATAATTTACAACGAACTAGACCAGAGTGATAAAAAAAAAAAAAAATACTTTCATGACTGTACGAGAAACAGAATTACATCACTTCTTCACCGCAGCTAATCGCTTGATCGACGCTTTTAAGAACCATCCTCGAATAGTTGTTAAATAGTACATCACCTTTTTTTTCCACACTCGAACGACAAATAGTTTCACATTCGTACGAAGTTAACCATTTGGCGAAAGTTTAATACTTAGGATAATATTCATCTGTGTGATATATTGAAACTGCTGTGTTATCAAGAGAGGAAGTTACTGATGGATGTCAGAGATGTTCGAAGCCTTTTGTTACGAGTTTAACGCATGTGAGAAAAATGATACAATTTTGTTCTTCTCACACATAAAACAATTTTATTCGATGATTTTTTATATAATTCAGAAATACAGCGATTCTTACCAATATTTGTATTTTTTACTATATATTTGTTCACAGTAGTATCATTGAATTTTATTTATTTGTTGTACAAATTTTATTTATTTAATGCACATCGTTCTCGCATATGATTAATGAACAAATAATATTAATTTTAATAATTGTACATATTTATCGGTCATATGTATATATACATACCTGTCGATCACACCTGGTGTTGATGAATTGTTCTTCATGCAAATTAAACACGTCATGAAAACTTTCTAATGGAAGACTTTTAACATCCGACGATAGATTTCTCTAGCGATAAAATCTTCATTGATATATCACCTGGTTGAAATTGTCCTAAATATTAAACTACAGCCAATCATTTATTTTTATTGCGTATAAAAAGAAAAGCTTCACTGGAGTCAGGTTTGCGTTATTTTGTATGTCGATTCACCGCGTTTCTCACCGTCACCGTCTCTTCATGGATCGTTCACAAAAATAAAAAAAAAAAAAAAAAAAAAAAAAAAAAAAAAA